AATTAACATACATAAATGTGAATAATGAACTGTATTTTTGAATGTGATATTAATTAAATAAATGTTAATGTTAATTAATTTAGAATTGATAACAGGGACATGAAAGTGAAATATATGTGAATGTTAATTATTGGAGAATTAATTATAGTATTTATCACGGCTTATAAATTAAATACATATTGAAAAACAAAAAGTATGATATTATTGAAATTATTGAATTGTAGCATGACTATAATCGTCCAAAAAATTATTCTCACTTGATACAATATTTAATTACTATAGATATATGGCCATTAACTGGTCGCATATTAATAAAATTGCAAATTATAATAAAAGAGATTTTTTTTCTTTAACAACACATTCATTAGGTAAATTAACGGAACCAATTCCCTACTAAAACCCGACTGTGACTATAGTTTTCCAAGATAGAATGCGTGCCCCGGCGACCACAGAGAAATAAAACATGACTGGAATTAAAAGAAATAATAATTGCATTAACTTCTGAATTTTTTTGTCATGCTTAATTACAATTAATAATATCTCTTAAATAGAGATTTTACTTAATCACAGTAACAAATTTCTACAATTGAACTATTCAATTATTTAAATGCAATAAAAGCTAATACAAATTAAGGAATTGACTTCGATCCCCAAGTAAAAAAAAAACATTAATGAGAGGAAAAATTACAAAAATTTTGATCATTAAACCAGGAACATAATAATTTTTTTTGAGCATTTCCAATGAAGAATATTAAAGAGTGGAAAAATTACAAAAACTCTCTTGAATAAAAGCAAATCAATTTGCCCTATTAAGTAGTAATATGTCACATGGATAGAAATGAGCATGGTTCGTTTGAGCCGATTTTGAAGAGGATCAAATCAAATCAAGAATCACTTGATATTTTGTAAATGCAATCAATGTTTTCAAATATAATTATGATCGGTCCAATTCGATTCGATCGCTTTTCTATGATTAAAAAAAAGTAGAGTTTATTCCATGACAAAAAGTAGAGGTTTAGATGTTTGGGGATGCATATGAGAAAAATTAACTCCCTGGCACGTATTTTAATTTCTTTCCATTTATTAATGTTCACAATAATGGGACAAACACCAACAAATGAAAATGAGTACCAAGAAAAAGATACAGGCTTTCTAAGAGCTTGTTTGTCTCCCATTATTGGGAGAAAATTAGTGTAATGAATAATATTTTTTGGAGAATGTATGGTTGAAAATTAAAGTAACTTTATTGGTTTGTGTGTAGAATATTTTA